AAATTCTTTTTTAATGTTTATTTTTATTTTTGAGAGAGGGAGACAGAAAGGGGGGGGAGCATGAGCGGGGGAGGGGCAGAGAGCGAGAGGGAGACACAGAATCCGGGGCAGGTTCCGGGCTCTGAGCGGTCAGCACAGAGCCCTACGCTCTGTGAGATCATGACCTGAGCCGAAGTCAGACGCTTAACTCACTGAGCGCCCCCCAGGTGCCCCTAAAGTAATACTTTTCAAGCACAGATAATTTGTCTGGATACTGGGTGAGGAGGTCAACAAGGAGTGTGAAATGCTCTGAAAGCAGTCGCCGGGCTTGATGAGGAGCACCGACGGGCAGTTTGAAGAGCCTGGTCCCAGGTTCAGGGACGTGTCCTGAGGAAAGGGAAGGTCTGCAGAAAGCGGGGTAGCAGAGCTTGGCCAAGGGAGATGGAAACTTCCTAACTTGCTGCGAGACTCTCTGAGGCGTCAGCTGCACACTTTGTGTCTGCTCACCCAGAGCCAGGCTGTGGCCACAGAGGAATGTCGTCACAGCCTCATACTGAGACATGCAAGTCCACTTGATGGGGGAAGAGCATGTGACACTGGTGGAGACATAATGATTTTTTAAAAACCTATTTTAATGTTTATTTTTGAGAGAGAGAGAAAGACATAGAGAGGGAGGGGCAGAGAGAGACACACACACACACACACACACACACACACACACACACAGAATCCGAGCAGGCTCCAGGCTCTGAGCTGTCAGCACGGAGCCCGACACTGGGTTTGATCTCACGAACCCTGAGATCAGGACCTGAGCCAAAGTCAGACGCTTAACTGACTGAGCCCCCCAGGCGCCCTGACATACCGATGTTTTTAAAGGGACTTTATTATTTTTAAAGCGGTTTTGGGTCCACAGCAAAACTGAGAGGGACGTAGTGGGCTGTCCTACGCAAAGCCCCACACGTGCATAGCGTCCCGGATTATCAAAGTCACTCACCAGAGTGGTGCGGTTTTGCTAAGGACAAACTCGCACGGACGCGTCATTGTCACCGAGTCCATAGCTTACCTTGGGGTTCCGTCTTGGGGTTGTGCATATTCCGTGACTTTGGACACATGTGTAATGTCACGTATCCACCACTGTAGCATCGTACAGAGAAGCTAACCACCCTACATAACTCCTGCGCTTCTGCTAACCGTCCACCCCCCACCCCCGCCCCGGCTGCCCGCCCTTGGCACCCCGCGGACTTGGAATCATACGGTGTGTAGCCTTCTCAGATTGGCTTCTTTCACTTACTAATATGCACATACGTCTCCATGTCCTTTTGTGGCTTGGTGCCTCATTTCTTTTTCGTGCTGAATGGTCTCCCGTTGCACGGACCACAGCATCTTTATCCATTCAGCCGCCGGAGCCCATCGTGGCTGCGACCTCTTTTTGGTGATTATGAATGGAGGTGCCATAAACCTCCACGTGCCACTTCTGAACTGGGTTTTCAACCCACCCGTGTGGCATTGTGTGGGTATTGGTGTCTGCGTTCCCGTTCGTTTGTGTTCCTGCGTGAGGGACAAACATTAGCAAAAAAATCAACCTCTCTTTTGTTTTTTGGATGGACGGTGAGGTAAGGGTTTATTTCCCTGTTTTATTTGGTGCCTCACTTCACTCTCTCAGACATGGGATTGTTAAAGGAGCAAATGACGACACTTTGTGTCTAATTAAGACCTTCGGATGGCTCCCAGCTTGCCACAGCTTGTTCTCCGATCCTCTCACTGGGGAGGGGGTGGGTATAGCGCGGTTTAAAGGTTTCAATCTGGCTGGCTGGCACAGGATCTTCCAAGCAGAGTCGCTCCTGGCTGCTCAGCAGCCTCGGGGAGCAGGGGTAAGGGTTAGATGACCTTGGCTGACAGAGCGAAGGGAAGGTCACGGAGAAAACCACTCCTGCCATCTTCCGTGGAGTATCCACCTCGCTAAAGAATTCTCCATCCCACCTCCACTAGGCATTATTGCACAAGCTCTTTCTCTGCTCTTTTCTGTCAAACAGCTCAGCTGGTCTGGGTGAGGGGGTCTGAACCACAGTGTGGTCTTCCCTTCCTGAGACTACTCAGCGCCCAGGGGTTCAAGTGTGCCCATCACAAGGCCCCCCGGGAACTATCCCATGCCTGCGTCCAGGGAGGGGAGAAGAGTTCCCAACTGGTGGTCGGGACCTTTGAGTGAGTTCCTTACGCCCTCTAACCCCTAAACTTCCCTTTACTCAATTAAAACAAGGCACTGGCTAGTCTGGAAGGTTCCATCTTGCCTTCATTGTGTCCAGGACCACAGAGTCCCCCCTGGTACTTGGAGCTGTCCTGTCTGTAAAACACAGAGAAATTTGTGTATCAACAGCCTTTTCTGAAGGGGCGAGTGGCTGATCACCAGGTTGGTGGCGGGGAAGCTGGTGGAGGCTGGAGCCTTTAGCAGAACGAGGGGAAAAGTTCGGAGGATCCTCGGCTCCACCAGTGAACTCTGAGCTCGTGCCCTCCTGGAATTCGGTCGCAGTGGGTTGTTCATAGACGGTTTTGCAGTGAAGCAATTTTGTCCCCAAGTACATTAGGGTAACTGTACATTAGGGTAACTCAGAAGGATGCTACCTTGCTTTATTTTCAAGTGTGAATTCCTCGTTGAACCCCGGGTGTTCCGCTTTCTGTGCACTTAGGTATCAGGAGCCTAGCGGGGGTGGCCCGCCCTCATCAGGTGCGGGAGGTGATGAGGGAGAATTTAAGTCTTTGGGGGACCCCGCAGGACACAGAGGCCCAGGGCGCCCGGACGCACAGGCGGGAAAGTGAGCAGCGGCGGCGGGTTCCCTGCGGGGCTCCGGCTGCCTGCTGCGCTCAGAGCTGGACCCCGCCCGGCCCCTCACCCAGGTCAGGGCCGCGGAGCCGAGCTCCCGCTAGCCAGGACCCCACGCCCCCTGAGCTGAAACCCGCAGCGGTCTGCAAGCCTGGAGGTTGGCGGATCGCCGCCGTGTCCCCGTGCCCCGCCTGTGTGTGCAAAACCTCCTAGGGGAAAGTAGGCTCGCAAGGACACGGATTCTTCCCGGAGGGGCACGCGTGGAGGTGTGCAAGCCCCGGCCACGGGCACACGCGCGGGCCCCTCGCCGACCCCGCGGCGGTGCTGCGCCTCGGGCCGGCCCACTCGGGTTGCAGGAGTGGCGTGGGCCCGCCCCGGGCGTTCGAGGCCGTCCCCTGCGGCATCTGCTCCCACTGCAGAAAAACAAGTGCAGTGCGATGCACTCGGGTTTCTGAACAGCTGCCCGACAGCCGAAACCAGACAGTCAGCAAAGCTGTCGGAGGGGGGGGGGCGGGGACTCCGGGAGGGGAGGGGGGGCGGTGCTAGCAACACGGTCGGGACGCGGGGGGCGGGGGGGCTGGGGGGGTTGCGCGCGCTGGGCCGCGTCGGGGACTCGCGGCGCCCCCCCTCCCCCCCCCCCCGAGAAGGTGGAAGGCCCTGGCTTGGCGGGGTGCCCGGAGTGGGGGCGGGCGGGGGGTCTGGGACCCCCGGGCGGTGGGCGACGCTCGGCGCTCCCCGCCCCTGCGCGGGCTGGCGCGCAGCCGGGGGAGGGCTGGGAGCCCGGGAGGGCGGGGCGGGGCGGGGCGCGGTGCCGCCGAGCCATGCGGGACGTGAGCGACGTGTGGCAGGCTGTGCGCGCCCCGCTCTGCGGCCGTGTGGCTTCGGGCCGCGCCGCCGGCTCCCTGCGCGTCGCGGCGCCGTCTCGGAGGGAGGCCCGCAGCCCCGCGAGGCGGGCAGCGCTGCGGTGCCGCTGTGCCGCGCGCTGCACTCACATGCCACTCTGGGTGCCGTCAGCCCCCGCGGAGGGCTCCCCGGACCTTCACAGGGGGGCCGGCGGCCCGACTGCACGACTGTCCCACGCCACGGGCTGATGCAAAACTCCGAAGACCGTGGAGGCAGGAAACACACATACACACCTAAAAAACAAATGCCGAGGAAGAGGTGCGAGCTGGGCTGGAGAAATGTGCAGTTTAGGGGGCTGCACAGGCAAGGCGCCACCCCCCCCCCCCCGGAGTTATTCCGGGGCCTGTGGTCAGGTAATGAAAAGTAAAACTCAGAGAAATTAAGGTCTATTGAAACTATGATAAACGGTGATCCTGAGAACCAAGGTGCCTCGGTCCTGTGCCGTCCCGCCGTCGGGGGCTTTCGTGTCCCCTCCCGAGTCCCAGCCCCTTGGGCCTCTCAGCAGCAGGGTGGGGGACCCCGGGTTCCAGGTCTGCGGGGCTGGGTGTTGGGGGAGCGATGTACAGCACAAGCCAGGGTTTCTAAGGGATTTAGGAAAGTGGACGGGGTAGGGACGACGGACCAGGGAAGCCCCCTCCCCGCGGGGGTCGGGGGTCGTAGGGGGTGAGACGCACAGGTATCCAGGAGCACCGTTGCCAGGGCGTCACCCAGAGACCTATGCCCCATAGGGCACCCTTTCCCCCGAGGTAGCAGAGACCCCCCCCACCCGCACCCCCGAAGCCCCTAACCTCTCTCCAACCTGTGGGTCCTAAGCCTGGATCATCCACTTGACTGTGCCTGATCTGGGGTGCGTGTTAAGAATGTAGAGTTTTGGGGTCCCACTCCCAGAGGGGCCGGGCCAGTAGGACGCCCTTTAACCAGCATCCAAAGTGACTCGGCTACGGGGACCCAGGGACCGCACTGGACGGCGCCGCTGCTTTCCTCCCAGCACAGCCGAGGTGGTTATTCTGGGAAGCTGTGCTAGTCGTTTTTAGGGGGACGTAGGAGGGCGTTTAGGGAGTGGGGCTTTTTAGCCGCAGCTGAGTTCAGGGCGTCATCCGAGGCATTGCCGGAGCCGGGCGCGCTGCTGGTGCCGACCTGCAGGGGGCGCCAGCAGGCCGCCTCCGGGCCGGCCCCCGCCCCTCCGCGAAAGAGGGCTGGAACCCGAAGAATGCGTCCCCGCCCCGAGGGTGACGTGTGCGTCCCCGTGGGCTGACTTAAAAGCCCCGGCCCGGCGCGAGGCATCCTAGCCGAGCTGGAGCCGAGGCGAGCGGGTGGGGAGGCGTCCGAGCCGAGCGGCGACTGCGGCTGTCACTGCGCCCCGGGCATCCCGAGGGCTCCCCGAGTGGCCGCGCCCGGCCCTGCGGCGGCGGCCCGGGCAGCCCCAGCCGCCGGCCCCCCGCGCAGCGCCCGTGCAGCCTCACGCCCCGAGCGGTCGTTCGTGATTGAGCACAAAGCACGTTTCCCCGAAGCGGCGCACGGGCGAGCCCCCGCGCCGCGCTCTCGCGCACGCACCCCCTCTTCCCCTTTGTTTCGGGGGTCGGCAGGCTCTCCTCCCCAAGTCTGACTTCTTCGCGGGGGGCGGAGGCCCGCCGAGTCCAGGCCGTGAAGATGCCCCTGGAGCTGACACAGAGCCGGGTGCAGAAGATCTGGATCCCCGTCGACCACCGCCCCTCGCTGCCCAGATGTGAGTGCAGATTCGCGCGGGGGCCGGGCTGCAGGGCAGCGGCGCGCGGCGCGCGGGGCCGGGCCATTGTGTGGCGGCCGCCGGGGCCGGGCGCGCCCCGCTCCTCCCCGCTCCTCCCCGCGGGCGGGCGGGTCCCCCTCGCCTCGGCCGGGGTGCGGGCGCCGCGCCTCCCCGGGCGGGCGTCGGGGGCGCTGTGGCCCGGCCCCGCCAGCCCAACCCCGCGGCGCCCGGAGCGCAGAGGCCCCGGGGAGCTCCGAGCGCGCCCCGGCCTCCGCGCCTGCCGCCGGGGGGCGGGACGCGCGGGCCTCGGCGGGAAGCCCCGGCCTCGGGGCCGCCCGGCGCCCGCGTGTGCCGCGGCCGGAACCGCTCTCCCGGGCGTCTGCGCGCCGAGCGCGGCCGGGGGGCGCGGCGGGCCTCTCCGCCGCCGGTCTCTGCGCTTCGCTACCTCCCCTGCGCTCTGCCTCCGCCTCCTCCGCACCTCGATCTGTCTCCCGCTTTCCACGCTTCTCTCTCTCGTCTGTAGCTACGGCTCCCGTGTCGTTTTACTCTCCGCTTCGCCGTCTCCTTCTCTCCACCCCGTCTTTCCCTCCCTGTCCCCTCGCCCTGCTCTCTCCTTTTCCTTCGGTGTATTTACTGTCCCCCCGGAACGAAGCCTGCGCTCCCGGGTCCGGGGAGGCTCCGGGTCCGTGACCGCACACTTGGCAGCGGTTCACGCGCGCGCACGCTCACACTCACACACTCCCCCGTGCTTGGAATTTGCTGGCAGTTCACCTTCCTGCTCTGTCATCGGCTGCAAATGCTTTGCAAAGCTTTTGCCTTTTACCTTGGGCCCCGTCCCTCGCAACGCAGGCAGCCACCTACTGAAAGGGTGGTCCCCGGGGTTGGAGGGTGACCCCCCCCAGGACCTGCCAGGTGGGCGGGGGCGGTGGAGCGGGGTGTTCTGCTTCAGGCAGGGTCAGGTTGCAGAGAGGTAAACACGGGACCCGTGGGCCAGTCCTGAAGGTGGCTTCCAGGAGCGCAGGGCAGCCTGCTGGCCTCTCTGCTGCCACGTTTCCCAGGGGATGGTCACCGAGGCCGTGGTGACAGCTTGCCACCTCAGGCTTTGCCCAGGTCTGAATCACCACCCCTCCCCCGCCCCCCCCCCCCCAACAGGAGGCGGGGAGAGCCGGCTCCTGGCTCATCCTGGCGACCGAGGCGGACACTGGGGGCCGCTCCTCCACCACCTGGCCCCCTGTGCTGGACCTGAGGGTTCTGGGGGCCTCCGTAGCCTGAGCGAGGGCTGGTTTCTTTGCAAGGTGGTCCCGGGGTCCGTTTCTGGCTCCCAGCCCCCTCAGATCCACTCTGAAACAGCTCGCTCCCCTGGGGCTGGCCACAGTGACTCCCCCGCTCCCCCGTTGGTCGTGGGAATGCAGTGCCTTCAGTCGTGCGGGCGATGCGGCCACCACACGACCCCGACACGACCCCGCCCTTTTTGACTTTTGAATAAAACCAGTATCTGTGGAGCACTTTGTAGGCTGTAATGGGTCACACAAACCTAGTTCGGTTCTCTCTCTACGGAAGTACGTGTTTCTGTAGCTATGGTGTGTAGGTTTGTAGGTGCTCACATGGGCACACGCTGAGTGGTCCCCCGAGGTTCAGGGTGGGGGCTTGGGGTTGGGTGTGGACGGCACTGAGATTGGCTGGCGTCCAATCTGTCGTGTGAGTCGGAGACACGCAAGCGTGCATTGATGCTTCCTTCTTCCAGGCTCCGGGGACCCATCCATTAGCCTCCATCAGTTTGCACGTCTCACACGCAGATTAGAGATTTGCCTAATATCCCTGGTGTGTGCATGGGGGGGGGGTGCTAAAGTGGATGGATTAAGTCTCTTAGTCTCTCGTCCCCGCCCACTGCAGGAATCCCCGTGCGTGGCTCTGGGGTGTAGTCTTGGACACATTCTTCCTTATAAAAATGCCTGCACCCTGGGTATTTATTACATGACCTTATTTCAGGTTGTGCCGTCTTTCTCGGTTTATACAGTCACATTTGTCCCTCATCAGAAGGGGAAAAGAGGGTATTTCTTGTTGCATCTTTCCTGATTCCCTTCCCTTGCCACCATCTCTAATGGTACTGGGAAACTTGGATGTTCTTCCTTCTAAACCTGTTACCGTCTTTCTAAGCAGTGTCTTAGTTGAGAGTCGACAGCAGATTCCCCTGAGGTTTATTCATTAAAAGACGGCGCGGTGAGCATTACCGTTCATGTGCAGAGGACAGTAGAGAAACCAGTGGAAGGCTCTGGGCTGCCTGGCTTGACGATCTTTCTGGGGCTAAAGCACATCAGTTGGGTGTCCTGTTGCTACATGCACTTGGTGGTAAGTGCTTCTTACAAAACCTGCCATTTCCTTCAAATGCAGATTGGTAATAGGACTTACTGACAGGGAAGTAATCAACAGGGAGGGTCAGGATTGCCTGGCTCCCTATGCTGTTTGTTCACCATCACTAAAAGTGGGGGCCCCTGGGTGGAAGTCCTGACTTATTTGGGCCAGTTACTTATCCACTGGGGACTGGTTTTTACAGTCTGATACATTCCATACTGCCTACGGTTAGACTTTCATCTCGGTAGGGGCTCAGACCCACTGATGGTATTCCAACTTAAAGGAGGTAAGGGGGACGTTCTGGAGAAATCTCTACCTTACCCTTGGCTGGCCACTACACTTTACAGCAGTGATTCTCAGACTTCACTGTACTTTGCAATCATTTGGGGGAAGCTTGGGGGAAAAAAACCCCAGAAAAATCCCTATTGGTAGCCCAAGCCAGGTTGTTAGACGTCCTGGAGGTGTGGCCCGGCAATCCTGAATTTTTTAGAAGCGTTTTCGATTCTGCCACTGGTGGAGAAGCAGGAGTTCGGTTTAGGAAAGGGCACTTGAAGAATTGCAGGTGAGAGAGACCCAGCTGAGCCCCAGTTCCGCGCTCACGACGTGTGCAGTGGGCCCCGGCTTTGCCTGTGGCTCTCCGTCCCCTCACGTCTGGAGTGACGGAACGGGCTGAGCCCGACGGGGCTGTTGCAAGAAGCAGCTCACACGCGCCCCACGGTCGTTAATCCTCCGAAGAACCTTTTGGAGCATCTCCACTTCACAGGCAAGGCAGCTAAGACGCTGAGAGATCAATAACTGGGCCAAGGTCCGAGGAAGGGGCCGGGCCCGGCTACTTCCAACACGATTTCTTTGACTCCCAGCTCCGCTCTCTCTGCCGCTGTGCTGTCACCCGCCCCTCAAGGCTGTCCGACGTCTCTAAAATGCCCATTTCCTTCCCGTTGCCGACAGAGACCACGTCAGTCAGGAGGGCTGTTCGTTGGACACAGGTTAGTTAGGCGTGCGTTAAAGTGTGCATGCGAGCTGGTGAAGGAGTATGGTACCCAGCAGTGGGACCGAAGAACTTTCTGGGCCCGCATTCTGTCATCCTGGGGCCAAGTACGTGAAGCCCGTTTCCCGGAGAGCCCCCCCCCCCGGGCGGCCCAGGGTAACGTGGGGTCACAGCAGGTCTTTCTGTGCGGTACTGGGTTGGCCCTTGCAAACGGGGGCGTGCCCCGTCTGCACCTGCAGCCGTCCGTCCGTCTGTCTGTCCTCCACGGCCCTTTCATTTGTTTCCCTGGAACGTATCATCGAAGTGTGATTACCTGCTGCCCGAAAAGAATACCAGTGACGTGGCATCTTTGGAAGTTGCCATTTTCGAGTGCCTGTGGATAAAAGAAAGCCTGCGGGAGGTGTGGGAGCGACGGAGCGGCTTCTAACTGTGTATTTTGCTTCCTGAGCATGGGGTGTGGGTGGCAGTTTGGGGGGCGAGCTGTGGAGCCCCTGCCTGTGTCAGTGCATGACACGTTGTCAGGGACGTGAGTCACTTCATCTGGGGCCTGGGGCCGGAATGGGAACCCTGGAGTCCAGCCTGCTGTGTCCAGGACACGAAGGGTTTCGCCCCGGCCGGTCCAGGGCTGGCCACTCCGGTCACCGGACGCTGCGCTCACCGCCCTCGCCAGCTTGGCCGCCTCGTGGTCGTCTGCTTTCCTGTGTCCACTTGCCCACAGGGAACGCACACGTGGCCGGTGTGCGTTACGTGCTGATCCCGGTGGGGCTGGGTGTGGGTGCGCAGGGCTGGGCTCGGGCTGCTCAGCGATGCGCACTCTGGCTCCCCGATTCGGATGGCCCCCCGGGGACCCCTGGCACCAGCATCAGCCCCTCTGCTTTCATCACGGTGTTTATTGCGCTGCGAAGCGACTTTGCTGGCACCGTGTCTCTTCCCCACCCCAGACCGGACGCTTCTCAGCACAGGACTGTGTCCACCTAATGCCCTGTGCCCACGGGGCGCCTGGCGCATGTGTCTGCTGAGCGAAGGGGTAGATGGAATGACATAGACTCGAGGGTGACTTCCCAGAACTTGGTGGCTTTCTGTGATCTTTTACTCAAGTGACAGCCTCAGCCTTGGATGACACGTTAGGCTTGAGCTCCACCCCTCCCCGCCCCACCCCAGACTGCAGCCAAGATGTTTACAGTCCCTTAACCCAGCGATCTTTAAACAATCGCTTCTCTAGCCTTTCAACATAGCGAGCGTGTGTGTATCCCTTAAACATGCTTACGGTGACATCTAAGTTTCACATCTAAATGCATCTGAGTGTAAAAACTGTTTGAGGGAGGGGGTCCATAAAAGTTAAAATACTAAATGTTTGTGAAAGATGAAATGAAACACCCAAGAGGTTTTAGCAGAGTTTGTTTAACTCCATACTTCCCTCCCCTGATCCCTGTGCTTGCTGGGGGAAGAGGAAGATGGTGTGAGAGGTAGAAGGAGGCACTCTTCTTCCGTGAGTTAACAAGGTCCGCAGAGAAGAAGAGACTGAGGGTCTGAGGGGAACTGAGGCAGGGGCAGGTGCTTATAGGATGAAGGCACTCGAGATAGCCTGTGAGTTTACACGAAGGACACGGAGGGATGTGGGTGGCTTAGCCGGAGTCTTCCCTGCTGTTTGAGACCCAGGAGCGCCAGGGTGGAATGACAGCCACAGCGCCGTGGGCAGTTCCGCCGAATCTTGTGCAGGGAGCCAGAGGAAGGGGGGGACGGCTTTCGCTTTGCCAAAGAAGACACTGATGATTTATTTGGGTTTGCGATTCAACTTGAAGTTTTGGCGTACGCTGTTTACTCTGCCGAGCCTTCATGGGAGCTTCCGCTCGAAGCATCTCCTGCTAGAGGAGATTTGCGCATACGGTTACGTGACAGTAGAACTGTTTTGATCAACCGGCCAACCTCTGCCTCCGCTTACTTGGCATGAGTCCTTCGAAAGTTTTCCGTGCATGTGCACAGCTGAGGGGTGGGAGGGAGGGAGCGGGTCCATCTGTCCCCGCACGTTTGGATGCTCTCGGGGGCAGTGGTGTGTGGGGACGTTGGGTAAGACCAGGGGCCGGCCCGTGGCGTGAGGGAAGGATCAGGAGTCAGTGATCCCGGCGTGTGAGTGAGGAGACCTCTCGTGTGTCCCCTGGCAGCTGACATGGTGCACATAGTAGGGCGTGTCTTACGTTCCCCCCTGGTTTTCCGGAAGGCCATCACTTTTCTTGGGACTCACGAAAACCCACTGGTGCTTTTGTGTGCTCACACCGGGCAGGGAAATGCCCGTCTGCTGGGAACGCGTGCATTCCCAGCACTGGGGGCCGGAGAGTCCCAGCCACGGGCTTCTGTGGCTCCTCCGTGGCTCCTGGCCTCCTGAAGGCCTTTCTTCTTCCTCCTCGCTCTGCCTGGAGAAGCTCACTGATGGTCTAGAGGAGGAGGAAACAGCCCCTCGGCGTTCTGTCTGCCTCCTCCCTGCCCCCAGCCCACAGGTCAGAATAACATGGTGGTGTTTGGACCTGTGATCTCCGCTTGGCCAGAGGCCGAGTCTGGGCCATGCGGGGGGCGTCCAGCCTAGGGAGGGTGTCCTCTATCAAGCCTGTGCCTGTCTGTGGCCTGGGGGCTCTCCTTCCGTCCCCACGTGGCACTTCCTGGCTTAGAGAGAGACGGAGCCCTGTCTACGTCTGGCATCTGCCTAGATCTGCGGTGTGGTCACAGTAGCTTTGGCTCGCCGTGTGGCCGCTGCCCGGGAGCGGTGGCACGTAGCTGACCCGGAGGGCGAGGTTGACTGTGGTGGCCAGTGAGCTCCAGGCAGTGCCGCTGGGCTGGGAAGGGCAGGTGGCCAGGCTCGTGCGTCACTCTTGTCACCAGGATGCTGGAGTCACCTTAGTCTCAAATGCAAGACACCAGCCAAGGAAATACGGCACCTTAAGTTTCCAGTACAGGGCTCTTTGGGCTGCTTTCTTCTCTTTTTAAAAAATTTTTAAATGTTTTATTTCTGAGAGAGAGACAGTGTGATCAGTGGAAGGATCACAGAGAGAGGGAGACACAGAATCCGAAGCAGCTCCAGGCTCTGAGCTGTCAGCACAGAGCCCGACGCGGGGCTCGAACCCACAGACCGTGAGATCATGACCTGAGCCGGCTGGATGCTTACCCGAGTGAGCCACCCAGGCGCCCCTGGGCTGCTTTCTTAAAATCCAGTGAAAACCTCTCTCCCTGGTGTCTTATTCTTGAAATGTTTCTCCCACTGTTAACCTCGCCCCTGCCGGTGTTGGGGAATCCCTTCCTGCTCTGGGGTTAGTAGCGGGGCTCCTGGCTGGGCTCGGGGCCCTCAGGAATCCGTTGGGAATTTGGGGTTGGGACAGTCCCCCTGTCCCGCGTGGCCTGAAAGCAAGACGGAGACTGGGGGCGGGGTGGGGCTCTGGCCAACAGAGGGTCGAGGTGTTGCCGGACTGCAAAGCGCCCAGGGCTCTGAGGTGGGCACGAAAACGGGGTTTCTGCAGAATTCTCGAAGGTCCGTGGCGGGGCACTGGCTCTGGCGCATGGACGCGCACGGCGTCGTGGCTCACAGCTGACTGTGTTCTCTCCGCAGCCTGTGGGCCGAAGCTGACCAACTCCCCCACCGTGATCGTCATGGTGGGGCTCCCGGCCCGGGGCAAGACGTACATCTCAAAGAAGCTGACTCGCTACCTCAACTGGATTGGCGTCCCCACAAAAGGTGAGGCTGTGCGCCAAGGCCAGGGTCGTGACACAGAGTGCTTCAGTCTCGGGCTGGTCTGTCCCCTCAAGCGAGGGGACCCTCTTTGGCCTTGTCACTCGGCGTGCTGTGTACGCATCCTTACTTCGTGCTGCCCCACAGCCTGCCCGGCTCAGCCTCCGCCACCTTCTGGCCTCATGGTCTATAGGGATCTGGGCCCTTCCTTTTTTTTTTTTTTTATTTTTTAAAATTTATTTTTGATAGTGTGAGCAGGGGAGGTACAGAGAGACAGAGGGAGACTGAGGATCTAATGCAGGTTCTGTGCTGACAGCACAGAGCCCGACGTGGGGTTCGAACTCATGAACCGCAAGATGGTGACCTGAGCTGAAGTCGGATGCTCAACCGACTGAGCCACCCAGGCGCTCCTGTGCCCTCTAAGTTACTGTAGCACGTAGTTGTGACTTTCCTCTGCTGACTGTCCTACAACGCTCTGCACCATTGGTTACCTTTATATGACTCTTGGCCGGGTCTTTCCGACTAAATGGGAAGTGTCGTGAGGTGGGGGACGAGGTATCACATCCACTGTCCCCCACAGTGCCTGGTGCATTGTGTCGTACGGTCACTGTCCCGTAAATGCTCCATGCTTCCCCGGGTCAGCAGACGAATGGTGGGTCTGGGCCCGGAGGTAAGGGTGACCCCCAGCGCCATCCTAGGGCACCGTGCGCAGGAATCCCTCTGCCCCCGTTTTCGCCGGACACGTGGCAGCTTCCGCTTCACACAGCCTCGTGGAGCCGCCCCTGCAGACAGGGCAGTGGGAGACGGTCTGTGGGAAAGCAGGGCGGCCTGAGCGGCGGCGGGCCTCGGGGAGAATGGGCTGCCTGCCGGGGTCACAGCCCTGGGCGTGGATCCGCTCTCCGGCCTCCATGTCTTAGTGGGACCTCACCGAGGCTGGTGTCGGCGTGTTGGCCGGGCTCCCTTTTAGAGAGCGGTGGCTCCTTCTTCCCCGGGGGGAGCTGAGGGTCCTCGCCTTTGTCCCCACAGTGTTCAACGTCGGCGAGTACCGCCGCGAGGCCGTCAGACAGTACAGCTCCTACAGCTTCTTCCGCCCCGACAACGAGGAAGCCATGAAAGTCCGCAAGTAAGGCCCGAGCTGCGGTGGGAGCCTGGACTTGGGTGCTTTGCCTCCCGAAGCCGGGTTCTGCCAGGGAGAGAGGAAGCTGGCCTGCGCGTGGCTTGGCCGTGGCCGCCGGGTGTGGCCCCGCCTCCGGGGGTGTTAGGACGGGCCCGGCCTCCGTGAGACTCGCTGCTTCCTCTGCTCCCAGAGGGTCGGGTTCAGCTGCCGGTCGATATGGATCGAGGCGACGTCGCCATTGTTTTTGTGGAACACCTTCCGCTTACCTTTGAAAAGGAGTTTTCTTTGAAGCCCGGGGTGGTCGGGAACCCCAAGGGCGTGGTGCTCAGCCCCGGCGGTGTTTCAGGGCCACCGGGGACCTTGGGGGGATCGCGAGGCGGGCCGCCCCCCGCACGGAGCCGTGAGAATCCACGGGCCGGAGCTGGGCGTCGGCCTCCTGAGGGCTCCCCGGGAGAGTCCAGGGCGCAGCCGGGCGCGAGCCCCGCTTCCCTGCGTGGATGGCCGCCCCCCTGCTCGCTGGGGTGAGCGGCGGCTTGCCGGGCCTGCCCCGTCGGCCGGGCTGCTCTGACGCGTGCCTTCCCTCCCTGTGTGTGCAGGCAGTGTGCCCTGGCCGCCCTGAGAGATGTCAACAGCTACCTGACGAAGGAAGGGGGCCAAATTGCCGTAAGTCCGGGGGAGGTGCCAGCTCTGTGTCCGATGCCGTAGCACAGGGTGCCCTGGAGGGGGAGAGGTGTAGACACTGACCCGGGCAGTGCCGAGAGCCGCTAGGGACACCTCAGATAGGGACTAGTGCCTCTGGCCTGACAGCTGAGGGGAGCAGGCCCCTAGAGCGGTGTGGGGGGGGTGGGGGGTGGTTAACTGGGGGCAGACCCGGGCACGGCCGGCACTGTGCTCTGCTCGCCCCTCCCCTGTGCTGGGGGGCAGCTCCCCCAAGGCGGGCTGGACAGGGGGTGGGGGCTGCTACAGCAGCCGGGCCCCTCCGCTGCGTGTGGCTGTTGTTTGTGCGCCCTGAGTACCCTTCCCGCCTTCCCTGGGTCCGTCCCTCGGTGCTGGAGGTAGTGGGGGGTGGGGGTGGGGTGGGAACAGGGCGCCGCCTGTCCCGGAACTACGTTTTCGGCTCACACCTGGAGGTGACCGCCCTCACCTGCTTGTGGTTGGGTGAATACTGCTCATCCCCAGCTTGGGCTCCCTTCACTGCCTTTCTGTCTCCCCGTCAGGTGTTCGATGCCACCAATACCACCAGGGAGAGGAGACACATGATCCTTCATTTTGCCAAAGAAAATGACTTCAAGGTGAGCGGAACTTCGGTCTGGCTCCGGGGCACGCGGAGCAGGGAAGGCTCCGCTGACTCCCGGTCGGTGGCGGCTCTGCTCCTGGCCGGGTTCTCTACCCGCTGCTGCTGCCGCGTGGGATGGGGCCTGTCCTGTGGGGGTCTGGGGGGTTACCCAGGCTAGGGCGTGGGCCGGCGAAGGACTCAGGAGTGAGCAGTGGTTCGTTTTAGGTGTCTGGGTGTTCGCAGGTGGGGTCCGCGGATGCCACGATGACCCCGCCATCCACACTTTGTGTGTCACATCTGTCGTTTCCCCACTTCCCTCCTTGCTTGCTTCCAGGTGTTTTTCATTGAGTCCGTGTGCGATGACCCGATGGTTGTGGCCTCCAACATCATGGTAAGAATGCAGGACCCCGCTCTGGGGTGACAGTCTGAGGAAAGTGGGGGACGGCGTGCTGGGGCCCAGAGCAGCAACTAGTCCCTGAGAACGTGCCGGCTCTCCCAGCCCGTGGCTTTGTCTGAGACGTGGGATCCGGGGAGGTGGGCGGGGCGGGGCGGCGGTTCATCCAGAAGCCTGTTCTGTGGCCTGCACCGGCTGTATCTGGGGTCCTTGCAGGCGGCCGGCAGAAAGCAGCCTTCGCGGGACCTGAGAGATAAAGCAGGGGCCTGGGGACAGTTTCTGTGAGTGGCAGTAGCCTGGCAGCTGGGCGGGGACAGAGGGCAGCTCACCCTTCCGGACGGAAGGAAGGCAGCAGGCCGGACGCTTTGGCTGTGAAGGTCAAGTAGGGAAGAGCGAGTGTTGATAAGGCTTCACGGGACACACCGGACTGAAAGGCGGCCCCGCACGTGCGGGGAGAGCAGAGGCCGTACAGCTCTTCCTGCCGCTGCGTCTGGAACACACGCTTCCCCTGGCCCGGTGCCGAGGGGAGCTGCGCACACAGACCCAGGGTAACCGGCAGCTTAACCTGATTAGCTCTTAAGTTTTGCCGCTTGAGAGCAGCATACCCTGAATGGGAATAGTTACCGTGAAGACGTCACCACAGGTCACCTTCTCGCACAGGTGGTTTTCTGTGCAGCTTAAATACGCGAGGCGAAGAGGTGTCTCTAACGAAAAGCAGGTGTGACGCTCCCGCAGGGAACGCTGGGGTTTGCTGTGTTACCAGCGCACCTCAGGGGGTTCCTGAAGCTCTGTTGGCTGCCGATGTTGGAACTTTTCTCCGAGGCAGTGGGAATGGGTACAGGCGTTTCTAAGAACCGAGTTCGTGGTTCAGAAGGGGCTATTCAAAGTGTGGGAAATCCAGATTCGTTTCAAGTCCAGAGGAAGAGGCTCAAAGGACAGGGACGTAGAACAGAAGTTACTGTAATCTGGACACAGGACGATGTCCCTTTAGTTTCGTTCTACTCGTTCCTCTTGGTAGCGAAGCGCGTTCATTTCCGCGGTGAGCCGTCGGCATGTGCTTGATGGGGAGCTCACCACCGATCTTATCCTCTGTTAACACATCTGGTCGTTCGACCCTCCGTGTTTGGAAATCTGTGTCTCCGATTGAGCCCCAGAGCAGCTTTGCGGCATAAGCCTGCCCCCCGTGCTCTCTGGTGGCGGCCGTGCTAGGAGGAAGGGATTTGGGAACTGAGATTGTTTTTTCAACGTGGTAAAATATACAGTTTACCACCTTCACCGCGCAAGTGTTCAACCCTGTGGCGCTCAGCACACTCCCTACTGTGCGCCGTGGTCACCACCGAGGATGCGCAGAATCTTTTCATCTTCCCACACTGAGACTCTGCACCCGTGAGGCGCTGACTCCTCATTGAACTCAGGGTTGTTTTTTGTTTTTTAACATTTATTTATTTCTTTTGAGAGAGAGAGAGCCCTTGAGCTGGGAAGGGGCAGAGAGAGAGGGAGAGAAGCAGAATCCCAAGCAGGCTCTGCATAGTCCGTGCCTGATGCCTGATGCACGGACCGTGAGATCGTGACCTGAGCCAAAATCAAGAGTTGGACACTTAACCTACTGAGCCACCCAGGTGCCCCTGAACACAGTTTTTGTTTTTTTTTAAAAGAATATGTATTTTTAATATCTGTTTATTTTTGAGAGAGAGAGAAGAGAGAGAGGGAGACACAGAATCGGAAGCAGCTCCAGGCTCTGAGCTGTCAGCACAGAGCCCGACGTGGGGCTCGAACTCACGAACTGTGAGATCATGACCTGTCCAACCAAGCAAAGTTGGACACTTAACCGACTGAGCCACCCAGGCGGGCGCCCCTGAACTTGGGCTGTTGAAGAGGATCTGCCTCTCCCGTGGCAGCGGTAGTTGTTCTAGAGGAAAAGAGCACGTGCATTAACAAATTCTGAATTTCCCTAAAACTTGCCAGGTTTCTCAGACCTCCTGTTCGCCTATAGGGGACGGCGAGCCTGAGGGTCGTTTCCTCTCCCTGCTCTTCCCATGAGAGGAAGCCTCCAGAAGGACCAGGCCTGTGGTCCCGGTGGAGAAGCACTAGTTGGGGAGCCATTACAGGCATGTGGTGCCCCATCCGTGGGTGTCACCAGGGCGAACCCTTGGGACAGGGCATCACCAGCAACTGGGGAGCGTGCCTTTGCTAACTGACAGCCCACCTTGGTGTGGGGGACGTTGCAGACACGGGCCCAGAACTCGAATTGAGGGTTGGCGGCCTGGTGATGACCTGGCTACTGGGTTGATCCCAATTCATGGCCCCATTCCGATGCGTTCAGTAGGCGCCTGTGGCTTTCCTGCGTCCGCCCTGGCAGGGAGCCATCCTCCGTCCGCAGGGCGCCCTCTCCGTGTCCTCGCCGGGTTATGACTCACGCCCCGGTGTATTTCTTTCTTTCTCTTAAACGCCGGGTGGGATCGTCGTCACTCTGAGCTGGCCTGTACTTCCCCTGTCCGCGAGCCCCAAACCCGCTTCACCTAAGCAGAAAGCCTCCAGCGTGATTCATCAGCTGCCTCTCTGTGGTGTTACAGGAAGTTAAAATCTCCAGCCCGGATTACAAAGATTGCAACTCAGCAGAAGCCATGGACGACTTCATGAAGAGAATCAGTTGCTACGAAGCCAGCTATCAGCCCCTCGATCCCGATAAATGTGACAGGTAATAACTAAGAGGCGACTGTTTCTGAGTCTCCTACTTTGGTAGGGTTTTTTTTTTTTTTTTCCCAGTGTTTTCATGCCATCCACACACAGCACCTGCTCCTGGATCCTTTTATAAACTGTCTTCTAAAACAACTTTTAAAAACTCCCTGGATTGGGGCGCCTGGGTGGCTTAGTCGGTTAAGCGTCCGACTTTCGCTCAGGTCATGATCTCGCGGTTCGTGGGTTCGAGCCCCGCGTCGGGCTCTGTGCTGACTGCCAGCTCGGAGCCTGGAACCTGCTTCAGAGTCTGTGTCTCCCTCTCTCTCTGACCCTCCCCTGCTCACGCTGTCTCTCTCTCTCTCTCTCCTAGAAATAAATAAAAAAAAAAAAAACTCCCTGGATGTATATTCCACATGACTGTTTCAGGCGCTAACTGTGTAGAAGCACGTGTGAGCCCCGCCTTGTCCCTGTCCCCTTGAGGCGTCCCTTCTTTCTGCTCTGGTCTCCCGCCTTCCTCTCCCCTCTTCCGACCGCACGCCGCTGCGGGCACTGCCCACGTGTCCTGTCTCTGAGACAACAGATTCCGTCTGCACCCTCACGCCATGGGTCTGTGGGCGCCGAGCCTCTGCGATCGGCCCCCGGCCACAGGGGTCTACACCCGGGCTGGCTGGGCTGGGCTGGGCTGTGCTGTCATCAGGCTTCTGATCCGCTGGTCGCCTTCCCTCGCAGGGACCTGTCCCTGATCAAGGTGATCGACGTGGGCCGGAGGTTCTTGGTGAACAGGGTTCAGGACCACATTCAGAGCCGCATCGTGTACTACCTGATGAACATCCACGTGCAGCCCCGCACCATCTACCTGTGTCGGCACGGCGAGAGCGAGCACAACCTCCAGGGGAAGATCGGAGGGGACTCGGGTCTGTCTAGCAGGGGCCGGAAGGTAGGGGGAGCCGGGGGCATGGCGGGGGGGACTCGGGTCTGTCCAGCAGGGCCCGGAAGGTAGGGGGAGCCGGGGGCATGGTGGGCTGCCGAGGGGCGAGGCGTGTGAGGGGAGGGTCTCTGTGAGGAGGCTGTGCCTGCAGGGGCTGCTCCTTGACAGCAGAGTCACATCCCTGACGCGGAGCGGGACTGGTCCGCCGCTGCTTCCCCAGGAGGGGCAGCAGCCCGAGTCAGGCCGTGTCCCCTCGTCCCTCGCAGTTTGCCAACGCCCTGAGCAAGTTTGTGGAGGAGCAGAACTTGAAGGACCTCAGGGTGTGGACCAGCCAGCTGAAGAGCACCATCCAGACGGCGGAAGCCCTGCGTCTGCCCTACGAGCAGTGGAAGGCGCTCAACGAGATCGATGCCGTGAGTGCCCGGGCCTGGCCTTGGCCGTGGGGCCGGGGAGCGGGAGGGCACCGAGGTCTCTCCCCGCGAAACGAGAGGCCTCGCAGACCCGCGCGTGCTGGGGTGAGCGGCTCGAGGTGACCCCTGGGTGTCCCACCAGGGGGTCTGTGAGGAGATGACATACGAGGAGATCAAGGACACGTACCCCGAGGAGTACGCTCTGCGGGAGCAAGACAAGTACTACTACCGCTACCCCACCGGGGAGGTACGTGTGCGCCCCCCGCCCGCTCGGAGCCACCGCGTGTGCTGCGCGCGAGCCTGTGACGGGCCAGACCGCGGGGGCAGGGGCCGCGGGGGAAGGTCTCCTGCACCCCGCCTCCCTCCTGACGCCTTCCGCTGCCTGTTCCCGGCACTCTCACTACCGAATCCGGTTTTCCTAAACTGAACCGTGTAAACAGCTCCAGGAGAAGCGAAGTTGTATTTTCCCGTGAGCAGCGGTGAGACGTGCGTCTCTCAGACGAGCACATGGTGACTCGGGAGACAGCGGTCAGGGGTGACCACTCACTCTGCACGCCGCTTCCCCCTGGGCTGCAGGCGCGATGGCAGTGGGTCATCTCAGGTCGATGCCGCGTGTAACCTCGCCCTCTGGCTGATGCCGCCTCCGGGCGGGGCTCTGGGGTCGGCTGCAGGCAGCCTGGTGACACCTGGCGGGTCCTTGTTGCCTGCGGGCCGTCGCCGTCTCGGCGTCTGTCATGTCCCCGTCCCCTCCTGCTCAGGGCTCTCTCCTCCTCTGTGGCCTTCATTCCTGGAACCTGATTCATGAGACAACAAGGGAGACCACAGAGGGACGGGCGTGGATAGGAGCCTTGGTGGCCTGAAAAGCCACATGCCCACCCATTTTCTTTCCATTTTTTTTTTTAACTGGGAGAAAATTCACACATAATATAAAATTCACTGAAGTATATTATTCAGTGGTTTTTAGGTGTATTCGCAGTACTGTGCATTACCAGTAATTCTAGAACATTCCATCACTCCAAAAAGAAACCCCAGCCCGTCCCCCCTCCCCCAAGCCCTGGCAACCAGGGGTCTACTTCGGTCTCTGTGGAGTTGCCCACTGTGCACATTTGACAGAAACGGGGTCAGACAACACGCGGTCCCACTGTGGGTGACTTCTCTCACCCAGCGTGACGTTTTCAGGGTCCCTCATGTTGTCAGCTGTGTCTGGACATCAGTCCCTCACTCGCCCGCGTGGAGAATTAGGAGGCAGCCGTTAAAGGGGGGACAGGGTGTGTGCGTCCTGCCAGAGGATTATGTCACATCCTCACCAACACAGGGACGGTCTCCCTTTGCTAGGAAGCCAGTCCCCAGCGCCTGTGATGGCTGTTGATTGATTATTGATTGCTTGCCTGCCCTCTGGTTTCTAATGGGGAAAGGGGCGTGGCCGAGGCGGCAGAGCCCCGCCCCCGCCCCGCGTGCGCCTCTGCGCCAGGGCACCGACCCGTCCCTGTCCCTCTGTCTTGCAGTCGTACCAGGACCTGGTGCAGCGCCTGGAGCCCGTGATCATGGAGCTGGAGCGGCAGGAGAACGTGCTGGTCATCTGCCACCAGGCCGTCCTGCGTTGCCTCCTCGCCTACTTCCTGGATAAGAGCGCAGGTGCCGCCGACCCCCGAAGCCTCCTTTGGGTGCTGGGGGCACTGGGGGGTGTTCCCGGGAGGGCAGCAGAAGCTAGCCTTTGGATTGGCGGTTTCCGCAGTCTGGTGCCTTCCGCACAGGACCCTGGCTCTCCCCTGCGCTGCCTCCGGCCTGGCGCCTCCTGGCGGCGTCTTCAGAGACAGCGTGGGCTCTGTGGGCTTCAGGGCTTTGTCACACAGCCCCTTGCAGGCCTCCGCTGCTGTGGCCTCAGGGCCTGGGGGTCGGGGGCAGCCCACGTCTACAGAATAAAGGGCCCAGAAAACTCTTAATGAGACTCTAAGATGTAAACCTGTGTCTACCCAAGGTTCACTTGAATCCTGACACACCTAACGTGTTCGGGGAATGATTTTTTTTAAGTTTATCTGTTTATTTTGAGAGAGAGATAGGGAGGGAGAGAATCCTAAGGAGGCTCTGAGCTGTCAGCACAGAGCCCGACGTGAGGCTCGAACGCGTGAACTGCGAGATCACGACCTGAGTGGAAACCAGTAGTCGGACGCTTAGCCGACTGAGTCACCCAGGTCCCCTGATATATTTTTTTTTAACTCTAATGCATGATGCACGGGCGGGCTTGGGGTTTGTTTTGATTCTGTTCCTTTGGCTAGCTGTTTTTCCTAGGCCGCCCGCCTTGAGCAGGGGGCTGTGTGTAGGGGGAGGAGGAGACACCCCAGTCTCCTGCTTGGCCTGGACTCCAAGGGCACCGATGACACGCAGCAGCTCTCCTTGGGGACTTGCGTGTGTCTGTCCTCAAGGCTCCTAGCTGATTGTGAGGCCTTTTCTCTTCCTTTCAGAGGAGATGCCGTACCTGAAATGCCCCCTTCACACCGTCCTGAAACTGACCCCCGTCGCTTACGGTGAGTATGGGGACTCGGCCCCAGCCCAGGTGTCCCCTGGGATGCTGGCTCCTGGTGGCTCTGGGGCAGTCAGCGGCCTGTCCCCTCTAACCAGAGGCCAACCTCTGTCCCCACTCCGTCCAGGCTGCCGTGTGGAGTCCATCTACCTGAACGTGGAGTCCGTGAGCACACACCGCGAGAGGTCAGAGGTGAGTGTAAGCCCCTGTCGATGGCTCCCCGCACCCCCATCCTGGCTCCGCCCCCAGAGGGTCTCTGTCGAGTGACAGGCCCAGGGGTGCGAGCGCTCGGGAGATCCCCACGTTGCGGTGCCTGTGACTGGACCTGTGTCTTTCAGCGGGGTCTCTGGCGTAGTTTGTTTGAAGTTGGCCGGCCGTGGTGACTTTCTCCCCTGCTTTTCTTCAGCAACCCCTGTGCCTTGTCTTTATATGTGGCTTCGTGGCATCTTCTCTCTCTTCCTTTGCATGCTCCCCCCACGCCCGCCTGTTTCGACTTAACCCATGCTGTGAGTGTTAAAGAGGAAGGTCCCTCCTGCTCCTCACGCGTAGCCTTGGCTCAGTTACCGTCGTCTTTCCCTCCGGGGCAGTGGAGACGCCCCGAGTTCTAGAGTTACTGGTTCGGACGAGATTAGCAAATCCACTCGGGTGTCCGTTGCAGGCTCAGGCACACAATTAGCAAGAAGTCGGAAATCGTGGCAAGGAGGTTGGGCACGGGGGGTGGGGGTTTCTGCAGGAACCCCCGGGCCTGCTTGCATCTCGTTTCCCAGGCAGGCCCCTCACCTCTGCGGGGCGGCCCGGTGGGGACGATGGCTGCCCCGCACGTGGCTGGGAAGGACCGTTGGGTTTACTTTCCACCGAGTGTTAGACAACGACGCTTGGCCATGTTCCCGTCTGAGCAGGACACCTCTCTGTTTCCCAGGGAGCCGGGCCGGAAGGTTTTGGCCTTAAAATCCCAGCTTCCACCAGCTCGTGTGGCCGGGGCGGGGTGGGGGCCGCAGGTGGGCAGCCTCGGCCTGTGACAGCCCCCGCGCGTGAACGCGGGGCACGGGGAGCCGCATTTCCTCCCGGCCCGACTCCGCCAGCAGGGCTGAGCCCGAACTGGGCTCCGAGGGGCCCTGCACACACCTCCCTGTGCAAAACTGGGGCAGCGTCTTGAGGGAGGCAGACCTCCACCCAGGCAGGACCGGGGACAGCCCTCGCTCCATTGTGCTGGCACGTGGCGGGAAGGCTCACGTCCGGCCTGGCCTGCCCGGGCTGCGCACCTCAGGTTTCTGCACCGTTAGGCTCCTGGCAGGGGTTGAAGCCGGCACTGCTCCGTCCTAAGCGGGAGGGGAGAGTGGTGGCGAGCAGGAGCCGTTCCTCGGCTGCTGTAGACCCTCCTGGCTCACAGTTAGCGCGGGGAGCCCGGCACCGGCCCCTGCTCCTCTGTGCCCGCAGTGGGCACCTGAGCCCCCCACCCAGGCCTCCCTCCCCTGGCCTCGGCTCTCTTGGAGTCTGGCGGCCAGACTTTTTCTCCGGCCTCGTCATCTGCCGTCTTTGAATGTCCGTCTCTAGAGCTGGTCTTGTGTGCTCCCCTTGCTTTGTGAACGTTGCGCTTGTCAGAGTGGGTTTCTTGGAACGTTCGGGAAAGGGGCTCAAGAGGTCGTTCCTTGTTTTTGCGGAATTGGAGCCGGTCCCCGGGGCCAGTCACCATGATCGGTCTTGTATCTGTAAAATCCAGAAGCAGAGTTCGGTTTGGTTTGGGATTTTTTTTGTTTGGTTGGTTTTTGTTTTTGTTTTGTTTTGTTTTGTTTTGGCTTATTTACCTCCCCACTCCTTGTAACTGTCGCCTTCTCTCTTTTGTCTTTGTCTCGCTTAGGATGCAAAGAAGGGACCTAACCCGCTCATGAGACGCAATAGTGTCACCCCACTAGCCAGCCCCGAGCCCACCAAAAAGGCTCGCATCAACAGCTTTGAGGAGCATGTGGCTTCTACCTCCGCTGCTCTGCCCAACTGCCTGTCCCCGGAGGTGCCCACGCAGCTGCCTGGACAAGTGCGTTCACCCCCTTCCCTCCTCACAGTCAGTCTGGGCTGGGAGGAGAGCGGCCTCGGGCAGCATGTGCTGGCGGTGGGCGGGGGCGGGGGAGGGTGGGGTCGCCCCCCACCCTGGGGTCTTCCTTGTCGACCTGAGCGCGCCCACCTCTTTCCTGAAGAGCAGAAGAAATGGCCGAGTATCTGTGTCCCACTCACATTTCTGAATACTTATTTTTGTTTCTCAAACAAGATGGAAAACAAAGCTCTAGAAGTTTCCATTCAGCTCTGGGCTGTTGGCCATGTATGGCCTGAGGACGTCTTTTCTGTCCCAGGCTGATAGCTGAGGACCTTCCTTCTGTGCTCCCTTGCATCCGGGCCCCAGTGTGTCCCCCTCCAGAGCCGGGTTAGAGCCTGGACAGTCAGACTCCCAGCATGGCCTGGGAATAGCCACTTTCTTCCATCACGTAGCTTCCTCAGCAGGTAGTAAAAACACCGGCAAGCGAAAACCTACCTAGAGTTTACTTGTGTCATTTGCTGTGAGGATTAAAAGCTGAAAGCTCTTGGCTGCCAGGCATTAAGATTTATTTTCAGAAGAGTAGCCTTTTCCTCAGTGACAGCCAAGAATCTTTGCCAACATGGGAGACGCAGAAACTCCTAGGCCACCGTGAGGCCTCCTCCCACCTCCGCCTCCACCCACCACGTCTGGGCTCTTCCCAGATAACTTGGGGGCTGAATTGTGAATCGGACTTAGGAGCTCAGTGCCGAGGCCCGCGGAGTCTTCTGCGTTTCTCCGCAAGCTCATTTGACTCGTGTGGTATCTGGAACTGCGATGTGGGGGAGAGGGCCGTGCAGCCTCAGGGGGGCCACCCACCCTCTTCAGGCCTCAGTTTCCCCATCTGTGGAATGGGGGAGTAGCACCTCCTGCAACAAGCGGGTCCGGCCAGGTAGTTGTGCTGAGTGGCCCACAGGCCCGTGGCCGCCCCTGGCCCTCGCGTAGGGTTTCATCGCGTGTTTCTGTGCAGACTGAGAACTGAAGCCATCTGCCTGTGACGTCCAGTTGTGGTGGAGACTGGGGGCGGGGGTCACAGTCGGAAGTTCAGCGGCTGCCGTCACGGACACGCAGGGGCACCGGGCCGGGCCGGGGGGTACGCAGGGCTGACGGGACGGGCGCGGAGGGCGCGTGGCCGGGCTCCCCCGACTTGGGCGGCACCGTCCTCGGAGGTTGCCGCGGGGTGGGCCAGGCTGGGGGGCCGGACGGGGCTCCGTCCCCACGGAGGACGCCGTGGTTTCGAACGACCCGGGGCCTGTTCCTGTCCCTCTACTGACCTCTCTCTCCGCTTTTTCTCCTGCAGCCTTTGCTAGGGAAAGCCTGTTTGTAAGTATTTTTCTCTGAATCGTTTTGCGACGCGCCCCCTTCTTGCTTGCCGGTTTGGCCTTCTGTCTGAAAATGCTGCGGATGAGGACAGTTGTGTCATATCTGATAGAGAACGACGGGGCCGGGGGGGGGCGGGCTCACGAGTCGGTAGGAAAGGAGGCAGGCCCTGTGGCCTGGCCGTCCTGGGCGCGTGCGGCCGCCGGCACCTGCTGCGTACGGCTGGCTTCTTGCGCGCCCCTCGGGGGTCCCAGCCACCAGTGCCCGGCGGTGGTCCGTGGCTTTTTCCTTCAGAGTCAGGTTTTGGTGCCAGGCCGGGTCTTCTGCTCGATGCCTCGTCTTTTAAGTCCTGTGCGCCCCCTTGGAGGGACTTGCATGTGAGAAGGAAATGTCTGCAAAACAGATAGAGGACGGACTCCTTGTGGGGGGTGTGGGGGTCGCGGCCCTGACCCCCCCTTCTGTCCCAGCAGAGGCTCCAGGACCCCGACACCCTGGGAGAGCGGTGTTCTGCTCGGGTTGTCCTGGAGCAGCACAAGCTTAGCCTTAGTGGTCACGTTCAGGATCAGGTGCAGCGTTCCAGTCAGACCCTTGGCCTCCCCTCTCCTTCAGCCGGAGCGCGCTCTGCAGGGAGTTTCTGGTTAAGTGACTGCTGGGTAATTCAGCGTCTCCGCAGAAGGGCCCCACCCCAGAGGGGGCCCAGGCCTTCCGCCTTGGGGGGCCACTAACAGCCGTCATGAAACGTCCTCTCCCCCAGCCCCTCAAGTCACACCTCCCGCCCTCCCTTCTGCCGATTCAGTTCCTTTGACTACTTGTTGCAAAAACTGAACTGGCTTCAGGAGTTCAGGCCGTCGGCTTCGAAGTGTGACTTGTTCTTGGAAAATAGTAGTGGAGCATCGCGCTCTGATTACGGGGCACCGCCTGAGGTGAGGCATATTTTGGGATGCTTTGCAGCTCACTGAGAAAGTGCTTGCTCACGCATGTTCTGTGTCTTCAGGCCTTAAAATAAGCCCAGGAGGTCTGCAGGGCAGCTCTGTCCCTCTTTACCCGAAGACCAAGGGGGGGGCCTGCCCCCGGCCGTCCGGCCAGTGACTCGCAGAACCAGGACTCAAACGGGCTGACGGCTTTCTCTCTGCTGGTTTCTGGGAAAGGTCAAGGGACTGTTCCCCCATCCCTGTCCCGGGCAGCCGACCTTGGCAGCCTGCGGGGCACCGGGTGGAGCTGTTGGATTTCCTTCCTGGCTCTCGCAGCCTCCCCACGCAGCTGCTCTCCACGGCTCGGGTGTGTTACTGTCCGTCAGACTCCGTCTTAGAGACGAACAGCCCCGTGTCGGCACCTCCTTGAAGCCAGGGGTGGCACACTGAGTGCGTCTGGGTCACGAGTTCCCCTTGTGTGAAAACAGGCCTTTGGATCTGGAGACTTCCATTTTGCCTCTGTGCATCTCCTGTTCTTTTTGAGCTTGATGTTGCCAGGAAAGAACTCTTCCTGCTGGGAGGGTCCCCTCAGGCACACCCCCACCTTCTCAGGTTGAACTTGCCCGGCTCCATGGCTCATAGTGCCTCTGGCTAGAATCCTTCCGGTTCAGCAGAAGCGTCTCCTCTGGACCCGCCACGCCTGCATTCCGCTCTGGGGTCCCCGCGCCCAGCCCGGCCTGGGAGCGCGAGCCCACGTCTGGGATTGCAGACACCACACTCCACTGCTGAGGCCGAACTGAGCCGGGCCGGGCCCTTGGTTTTACCACCCTCCCTCTGTAGCATTCTGGGCGGGGTGACGCCATCTCTGCTTCCTGGTCCGTCAGGTAGAGACGGTGGCACTGAGAGGTGATTTGACGCAGAGAACATAGGCCGGCTTAGCAGAGTGCCCGGCGCGAGGTCAGTGCGCAGCAGACAGTAGCCGTCACCGTGGGGGAGACAGTGCCCTGCGCCCTGGTGGGTGCCCGAGGCCCCCGGGCTTGTGCTACTCGCTCTGCATTTTGACGTCCCCCATCCCGTCCCTTCCACAGAGGCCCGTAGGTTTCTTCTCCGGAGTGGCAGGAGCACCAACAGCCTAGGGAGTGCGGGGCGCCCTCGGGGTCTTAAAGGTCCTGGGCTGGTAACATGATCATGGTCACACATGGTCACGACAGCCCAGTTCAGTGCAGCGCCCGGCAGCTCCCCTGGGGGCCGCACCAGTGCTCCAGGCCAGCAGCCCCCGGCCGTCCTTGATTGTTAAGTTTCAGATGCACACTGAAAAGAAGATAGCACTAAAGATGTTTTGTTTTGTTTTTCTTTTCCAACATGTTTCTTCCCTCCCCCCTACTATGCTTGAAAGACGAACTGTTTGTCACATTTTCTCAAAGTTTTCTCCCTACTAACCTTGGAAAGGTAAATGGCTCGGTGCATGCCCCTCTCCGTCCCCTCTGCATCTCCCCCCGAATCATGGCATCTCAGCCTGTCAGGGCATCTTGGTCTGTGTGACGGCGACGGGCCATTGTGCAGTGTGTGACTCATACACTCGTGCCGGACGACTCGTGTCTTTCAAGAGCAGCACCATTGTCTCGAGATCCTCCCTTCCTCCCTCTTTCTCGTTCCCTCCTTCCCCTCCATGTGGCCTGAGCCAGGGCGCCATGCGTGAGTGAAGTGACGTGGTCCCCGGTGTCATTGTTGCATCTGTCATCCGTGGGCGCTCGGGGCCTTGGGCGTGATATGTCTGGGGGCGGGTTGGAGCCGGCAGGTGCGGCGGGACCTGGCGGCATCCTGGGCTCCTGCCCTAGCGGTGGGGGTCCGGGTGCAAGGCCACAGGGTCCTCCCGGGAGACCCCGACGCACAGACACTGATGTGCTCGTGACTGGAGGGTCGGGTGGCCTGGGCGGAGTCGGGCTGAGAGCAGCCTCAGGTCTGAGCGCGGGTTCTGCGAGCCTCTAGGCGTTTCCTCACCGTGGGCCCTTGGTTCTGCACGGGAGGGGACGGGCCGCCGTGAGCCCTGCATATCTGTGTGCCCGGCAGCCACGCTGCCCTCACCCTGTCCCTTAAGACAGTCTGGTGGAGACCCTCAGGGAGGGGAAGATCACTTACAGAAATGACGTCTCCTCTCTTGGCGGGCGGATTCAGGTTGGGCAGAGAGCCAGCTGTTGTCTGTCTCCAGCTGATGGAAACACTTTTAATGTTGAGAGAGCTCGTGAGCAGGGGAAGGGCAGAGAGAGAGGGAGAGAGAGAATCCCAGGCACAGAGCCTGGCATGGGGCTCGAACTCGGGAACCATATCGTGACCTCAGCCAAAATCAGGAGTCAGATGCGTAACCGCCTGAGCCAGCCGGGCGACCCAAAAATAATTTTTAAGGGGTTTTTGCTTCCGGCCCGCTTCTCAGGGGTGGGACTGGCGGCTACGGTTGCTTTTGTTAGGGGCTTTAGTGACTGACACCTGCCTTCTCGGCCTGGGCCCGCCCCTGCGACGTCCAGTCAGCCGCGGGCACCTGTGTTCTTGCTGCCGAGCCCGTGTTCCCGGAATGCGGACTCCGGGGACTGGAGCGCACGGTCTACTTGAACCTACTTGAACCCTGTTGAGAGGAGGGTCCAGGACCCTGGGTGTGGGCGGGGCCATCTCAAGGCTCCAAAGGGCCGGAGGCCGGAGGCTTCCCTAGGTGCTGGCACTCAGTGCTCCCCAGAGCTCTGACCCACTAGGACCACCCTCCTCTCTTCCCCACCTCCCAGAGGCAGATGCCTGGCCTCTCCCGGCCTTGGGCAGCCCTGGGCTTGCTTCCTTTCTCCTGGGGCCACGTGCGGGGGCGGGGGGGGGGGGGGGGGAGGCAGGAGGTGTCCCATGCATGTTTTTAGTCTAGAGACGCCTAGTCTACGGGAAATGACCGTTCTGCTTCCCCGCCCCTCTCTTCTCCCGGAAACAGAACATGAAAAGCACCCAGACCGGCATCGACTCCAGGACCCACTGAGGCAGACCCTCGGCTCCTGCCAGCTCTGTTCCTGCAGCTTCTACGTAGTGCTTTTCCATCTGCCCAAGGCCAGCCATCCCCAGGACGTCTTCTGGAACAGGGCGGGTGAGGCAGAAGAGGGGCCTGCCCGACAGAGCGCCATGCCCCCGGGAGGCCCTCACCGAGTGTGGACCCCACCCCACGCCCCCCCGGCCTCGTTGACCCCCCCACCCCAAGGCTCGGAAAGGAAAGTGAGCAGTGGAAGAGGTGAGAGAGGGCCCCGAGGAGGGATGTTGGCCTCCAGGCTGTGCCATTCTGTTGAGTTTCTGGGATCCTGACCTGGTACGTTCCAAGCACGGGGAGAGGACCCTGGCCCCGGAATCCTAAAACCGAAGGGGGCCTAGTTGCTGAAGAAGAAGGGATGTTGAAGACTGTCACAAGGCTCTTCCGTTGCCTCTTGAGGGCAGGACCCTGGCACGTGCTGGGCTGGGGCCGGTCCCGGAGGAGGAGGTGGGTGAGGGCTCTGAGCAGGACTCACCTGTCACAAGCAGCCGCCATATGGCGTCTACACAGCTTCCAGCCTCCGAGGACGCTAACTAACGCACAGTGTGGCGGTGCGGGCAGAAGGAAATCTCTGCAGGAACAGCCCCGGGGCTTCACCCCTGCTGCAGCTCTGCTGTCTCTGCCCTCCTGCCCGTCCGAAGGCCGCCTTCCGGCACCCCCGCCGCCCCCACCCCCACCACCCCCCTGGCCACGGGAGTGGCTTGCTTTTGCACTTTTTAAATGGCAGAAGGCGGGGCCTGAAAGTTGTACCTCCTCTTGAAGAACTCAGATGTTTGGGGTTTGTGCCCTTGGGGGCTGGGGCTCGGAAAGAACGTGGTGAGTCAGGCGTGCCCGTGAGATGGGGAGCTCGGAGGGACCCCAGGAAACCAGCTTGAAAGCAAGTCGCTCAGATCATGGCCAGGCTGACCCGGGGGGTGCCACAGAGGCGATCAAGGGTCACCTCCTTCCTCCAGGATGTCCACCGCCTCCGTGTGCTTCCCAGGTGGGGACCGTGGCCCCGCGGAGACCTTGCTTGAGGCCACGCCCTCCAAGAGGCTGTCCGTGGTCTCCCAGCAGGACTGAGCTCAGTCCACTGAGCTCTCCACGTCCTGGGAAGAGGCGGTGGCTCGAGTCTCAGACGAAACGATTTGGAGATTCCATGGCAGGATTTGTCCACATGACCCTTTGAAGGATCTCTCAAAGCTGGTGCCAGAGGTCACTTCCCCTTGCTCGCCCTCTGCTTTCGAGCCCGACGGTCTCGCCCCCTCTTGTCTTATGAGACCGGTACCAGGAGCGCCGTTGTGGGGGCTTGGACACCCAGAGAGGGCGCCGGACCACACGTGTTCTCTGGTTGGGGTTCAGTGGGAAACTGGGACATGCTGTGGATGCCCTACAGTCAAGTTCATGGGTTTCACAACGAAACATTCAAATCCCACCCCGCCCCCACCCTTCCCCAACCGGGCACCGTGCCCGAGGATGTCTGTGCATCTCTGTTTCTGTGTCACCAAAGAAGGGCTCTCCTCCCTTCCCTGCCTTCTGAGTCTCGTCAGACGGCGAGCGTGCCCGGGCACAAGCGTGTGCTTGTACGTTGGCCTTTAGCAGCCCCGCTCTCGCGAATGGCTTCCTTACGTCCCGCTCTCCGGCCCCCTTTTCACGGCGGTTGTCGGAGCCCTGGCTGGCTTTGACCCTTAACCACCGATGCACGTGGGGCCGCGTGTGGGGGCACCGCCCGCCTCCGGCTGCTGAGGTCACTAGGGAAGCGAGCGTTCTGCGCATGCCTCGAGGGGGTGACCGAGCATGACCGCGGCCGAGGAGAGAGACCTCAGAGGGTGTGGAACACTGCCCAGCTGAAAGCCGCGATCCCACTTGGGGCGCCAGATGGACGGCGTATTTGACCCGCATTCACGGGGCTCCTGCCACCCTGACTGTTGCCTCTCACCCCCCGAGACCCCCTGAAAACTACCTGGGACCAATTTTGTTAACTTGGCTGTTTGTGGGTGGGTTTACCCTTCTCCTCACTCTGTCCGGAGACCGTGGGCAAAGCCCATCGTTGGTGGGGAGAAGAGAAATGGCCACACCGACGACCTTTTTTGTTTGTAATACTTGAAATTTATTTTTTTATTATTTTGATAGCAGATGTGCTATTTATTTATTTAATATGTATGAGGGAGCCTGAAAATAGAAAGCTGTTTAGGTCGGATGTAGTTGTTCGGTGGTTGGTTTTGGGGGGGCCTTTCACGTGTGACTTGTGACTTCTCTGTGTTCTGTACAGTTGTCTGAATTAATGACCTGGGATAAGGCTGTGCCAGCTTTCAAACAGGGGATGCTTTTCAGAAATTTGTATATTTTGCAGTTGCCAGAATAAAATACCTGGTTGAAATACGCTGATGACGTGCACCTCTGGTCCTTTTTTGCGGGGGGGGGGGAGGCGGGAAGAAAAGTCTTTAGTTGATGCTCGTGGTCCACACACCAGGTGTCTATCACTGGTCTCCTGACCGACCAGCCACCCGACATCTTTAGACAGGACGTACGGGTACTGCTTGCTGGCGTCGATGCGTTGTGGTTGACCAGATGCCATGGTTTACACCAGGGCTCCCTCTGGTTCTACGGGATTTGGCAAATGCATCCCCATACGGGTGCCCCGTTATTGCAAACACAGCGCCCCATCAGTCTGGCTTCCCTTCACCCCGTATCCTTTCTCCCCAGCCCTTTGGACAGCAGCAGTGCTTCTCACGCAAGCATTGCCCAACCTGAGGCACCCTGGGCAGGATTCCCGGAAGCCATTTTGTTTCAGGCTCTGGGTTTTCTTCCATTCCCTGCCCTTCCCCCCACCCCCGTAAAGCCGCTTTGCAGTTTCTGCTGGGGGGAGACCCGGAACCACTCTGCCACGCCGGGAGCACGTTCCGCTCCTTCGCACCTTCATCCCTACAGATGAGGAAGCTCACAGACAGGGCTGAGGGCTGACGGGGGCCCGGAGCGTTTCCTTCACGCAGGGTATTGGTGATGCACGGTGCCCTCACTACGGCCCCCACTGTTACCCTCCAGAAATAGCCCTTGCTCCCCAATTCGTCTTTCTGCAGCCCTTACGCTTTCTCACCTCCAGGTGCGAAGAGAGCGGGAGTCAGCAGTTTGGCAGCTCCATTAGAAACAACTTCTGAGTTCTCTGTACCCAGAGTGGCGGGCAGAGCCTTTGGATTAAGGGCCTTGTCTGGTGACTGGGGTGCGAACACCTCCGTGCGGGCCGGGCTCGACCCAGCCTGCAGGCCAGCCTCTCCTCTGAGCCCACGTTTCAGGGCTCACCGTGCGTTGGGTACAGGGCTTAGAGACTGTGGATACAGATGTGGGCCTTTGCCCCTAGGTTGGAGCCAGTCTCTCAGGTTATCTACCAAGGGAATCAGGAGGCCATCCTGAAAGAGGGTGTACACACACTTTACAATCCGGGGCCTGTTGGGTGATGGGAACCGGCAAGTGCGATGACCTTTTGGGCAAACTCTGAGACCCATCTGTGTGTGACCTTGGGCCAGAGCTATAATTACTGCACAAATATTGATGAAAGGGTGACCAGGTGGGTGAGTTGTGGGGAGGAGGGGGCAGAAAGCCGTAGGAAGGTGAATACCAGAAGGAAATGGATTCAGTTACTGAGGTCCCGGATGTGAGCCAGACACCCTGTGGCTCTTCGTACCTTGAAAGCCAGAGTAGGAATCCCCCTGTAGCAGATAAAGTCATTATGCCAAGTACTACCGGCTACAATGCTAGATGAAGGTGTAGTTAATGATCTTCAATGATCCTCAGGGCTGCCCTGGGAGCTGAATCTGCTCTTGCCAGGCTCATTTTACAGGCAAAGACTTTGAGACTCCCTGAAGGTAAGTAACTCAGCCCGGAGCCTGGCAGGCAGATTTTAGGGGTTCAGATCCAGGTATCTGGGACTCTAAAGCTTATGGCTTTAACCGCTGTAAAGTGTCACCCCCACCTGTCCGTGGTCCTTCCACAGTAAGGTGAGTTAGTGCAGCAGGTGAGGCCTCAGGTGGGCTTTAAGCTGCCTGCCTGTCGGGCCGGGAGGTCGGGCTGTCCCTCCCGACGTGCTCCCTGTGGTGCTCGGCTGCTCAGATGGCCGGGGTCTTCAGAGAAGTCCGCAGCAGCAGCAGCAGCAGCAGCAGCAGCAGCAGCAGCAGCAGCAGCAGCGCATGGCCCAGATTTGTGAAGCCCCCAGGTACTACCCCCAAACTCTTGGCAGAAGTTCCTCCGAGAGTCATCATGTCACTGCCAGGAGGCAGCAGATGGCACTGGGCCGTAAGGTGGGTTCCAGGGAGGGGTGGGGAGTGAGCAGGGGAAGATTTGGGGGGTCCACCTCTCTGAGAAAACAGCTGGGAGCTTTGCTCTCAGCAGGGTAGGGTGGCACCTGCATTTAAAAAAAAAAAACACCTTTTTAAATGTTTTACTTATTCTTGAGAGAGTGCAAGCCAGCGAGGGCCAGAGAGAGAGGGAGACGGGATCCAAAGCAGGCTCCGCACTGTCAGCAGCGAGCCTGATGCGGGGCTCGAACTCCTGAACTATGAGATCATGCCTGAGCTTGCAGTCCAGACCCGCCGGTGGGAGCCTCCAGCCAGCCCGCCTCTCCTCTCCCTCTGCCCTTGGCTGCTTTAACATTTTTCTCGCCAGCATCATTGGGGAGATTTTAACTTGGGGTTATTTAATAAACAGAACTGGGGAAATTAGTCCACTCTCTGAGAAGAAAAAGCTAATCAGATCACAGCAGTGCACCATCCATTTTGACCTAAGTGTTAAAAAGGATCAAACTGTTGAAAAGGAGAAGAAAATCTTGGGTGCACAAAAATTTAGCTTCAAAGCAGTAAGAGAACCCACAAAGGAAATACTTAGATTCCACAATGGAGCTATTTTAACTTCAAAGTCATTAACAGCTATTGTAAGCAAAAGGAAAACGGCCTGCTAAGAAATTTTGCAACAAATCAGACCCTCCAAATTGTCCTAAAATACAAATCAGAGGCACATCCAGAGTGATCACAAAAACATGGAGACTACTAGATTCCCAAAGGCTTTTATTCCATCTTTACCTCAAACCTTTGCAATCTTATTTAAGTGTTTATTTATTGCAAGAGAGAGACAGCAGGGGACAGTCAGAGAGAGAGAGAGAAAGAGAGAATCGCAAGCAAGCTCTGTGCTGTCAGCAGAGACCCCGATGCAGGGCTCGAACTCCCATTCCGTGAGATCATGGCCTGAGCCGATATGACGAGTCAGATGTTTAGCCGGCTGAGCCTCTAGGCGCCCCTGCAATGAAGTCTGGTGGAGTTATGCCATGAAGGTTGTTTTATACACTTCATTTTGAGCTCACAGTTTTCAACACAGCGTGAGTGGGTTCAGATCGAGATGTTCTCAGCATGTGAGCAGGTCTTCGCAGTCAATGCACTGATGGCCCAGGTGATCTCTATAAAGGCAACTGGCCTCTCAACCTACGGGCTCTGACAGCCTCCTACGGCCATATGAGAGAGAAACCCTGTAAAGACAATGGAGGTCCCTCAAAACGTGGCACTTCTGCCACCTAGGACGAGAGGCTTCTTTCTGCACATTCCTGGAGAGAAGTCTTTGGAGATACTCAGTAGCGCGCCTGCCAACGGCGGCAGCCTTATCTGTTGCACGTGAGATTCAATGTGTGGCGGGCAGGCTGGGTTGGGGGAGTGTTGGAAAGATGGCGGATGGTGGTGGAGACGAGGGTGGGCCCAGTGGAGAAGTAAGTGTCCCCCATGCACAACATGTTTCAAAAAAAAGAGAGGGCGCCTAGATGGTTCAGCCGGTTGAGCGTCCGACTCTTGATCTCGGTTCAGGTCATAATCCCCATGGTTCATAAGATCGAGCCCCAGGTGGAGCTCCGTGCTGACGGTGCGGAGCCTGCTTGGGATCCTCTCTCTCTCTCTGCCCTCTCCCACACATGCATGCTCTCTCTCTCTCTCTCTCTCACTCAAAATAAATAAACATTAAAAAACATACTTCATAACACTGCATTGTCAATGAATCCTTGATGCTGGCGGCGGTGGTGGAGGTAACAAGTGAGCTCTCTGTTTTCAGTTCCCTGAGGCCTAAACTAAGCCGCAGCATAAGAGAAACGCTGCTTTGGACGCGCCGGATGAACTGAGTGAACTAAGGATGCCTCACCTGTTTCTTCCGGAGACTCCATCTGGTGAGGAGGCCCTTAAGGCCTGGGTGGGACTCCATTCCCACGTCCTGGCCGTGTGGAACCCAGGGGCCGGGGCGAGGGGAGGCGGCCAGCCTGGTGGGCGACGAATTGGTGAGGCTCCCCCAGGCTTTGGAGACGGAGGGTCCCGGGTCCATCCCTCCACGCCACCACGTTCTAGATGCGTGGCCTTGGAGTTACCTGTCATGTTTTTTAACTTGCTTCCTGTTCCCAAAGCGGGGACGTCCATACCACGTTTTTAAATTATTAGATTCACCACTGACTTGTTACCTTTTCGTGCAAAATAGAACACACCGTATGCACATCCAATGCAAGACAAAATCCAGCTTTTGGAAGTGTTAAGTGAAGACAAAAATTCTCCTTAGAAGGGGAGAAATACCATAATTACTTTCCAGGCGTTCTGTGAGGATGGAGTCTTATAAATGAGGAGACCTTGACAAGTTTCGGGCACAGAAGGCAGGACCAAAACGCTGGCTACTAATCTAATAGCACCGGGCACTTTAAATGCAAAGTAGATATTGTTAGACCCACTTTGCAGGCGTGGAACTGAGGTCAGGAGAACGTAAGGAGCCGGCTTGATTTTGCCCAGCCACAGCTGCGGGGAAGCCCGCGTTGCTCAGACTGCCGGCCCTCGCAGCCTAAGAACCACACAGCGGAGCCGGGTCCTGCTGGGTGAATCACCAGCCGCAGGACTGGGTCGGAGTCCGTGTGGCAAGCAGGCTTTGTGTGCTGGGGCTCTGGAGAGGTCTGTCTGCATCTAAATGAAGAGCAGATTTTCTTTAAAGGGCTGTGATTCAGGGTGATCGCCGAGGCCTACAGACCAGACATCCAGTGTCTGAGATTCTGTGTTTTCCCCTTCCCCACTCTCTTCCAAACAGCTTCTGGGATCCCCTATTCCTGGGGCACACAAAGACTTTCCCAGGGGTACCCCCGCATAGATAGTTTTAGGGGAAAAGGTTTCCAGATCCTCGACATCCATATTCACTCTTCCTGAAGCAGCCGGAGAAGTTTGTTCACCTCTGCAATTGCCGTGGTGTTTCTCTGCTTTGCAGACAAAAGGCAACCGCCCCACCTACCCTAAAAGCAGTTACTACAGTGCCTCGCCCCAGGGTGGGGACAACTCGGGGCACCCGACAGAGGGAAGCCTCCTTTAATGGGGAACCCCTGATACGGTAACCCC